TCCAGATTTTCACAATGTATCTGGAGAAGCACTGGTGGAAGGAAGTGATGTCTGTTTAGTGAGTTTCTTTCCTGTAAAATACTGCATGATGTCAAACAAAATGACAGAGAATGACTTTGACTGAAACAAATTTAAGTAAAAAAAAAATCAATAAACAAGATGTGGTTAAACTATGTAACAATTCTTACCTACTGTTTACAATCATAAACCGCCTTCCTTCCCTGCAGGGGGTGCTACATGCAACTGTAGAAATACTTGACTCCATAATAATAATACATTTTTTTCCTGTTGTTTTTGGCCTGTAGTTATTTATTTTGCAATCATGATTATTATTTTTATAATAAAATAATACAACTAGATTCTATTTATGATGAGGTCAATGTATTACACTACATATAACTACATAGGTGGATTATGTGAGGTCTATAATTGTGTATTTTGAACTAATTTTGATGTAAAATTTCCTGAATGGGAATTTCCAAATAAATAAAATAACACTGCAAGGCAGCAAAAAGTCAAATGTTTCCTGGGAGCCTCACAGTTCTTTATTGAAAAAGAGATTTACTCACAAAACAACAAGATCAAACAGCTTCAGACAGCAACTCTTTCACGGCTGCTCAGTGATTTATTCACTGTAGTCAAGTTTCCCTGGATCAGCCAACTTCCCGTTTTGTTTTGTCTCCGCTGTTCTTCTGTAAAATTGGACACCGTAGCTGAAACAAAAGTGACGACCACCCAAACGGTGCTGGGTGTCATCGCAGTAAACACAGCTACTAGCTCTTGATTAGGCAGTGTGTGTAAAGGGATTGGTCGGCCGACATCAGCTAATACAGATATAATTGACTCTCCTTCTGCATGCTGCACATGGATTTGCAGAAGTGCACAGGCTCATTGTACAACAACAAATTAAGCAGGCGACAGTCAAAGGAGCGGCTGAGCATTCACCGGATCTGGACAAGAGACTGGTGAACTCTGGTAAATCTGCAAACACAGCTTCTCCCTGCTCTGGAGCCCTTTCATCCTGCCGACATCTCCTGCTGCAGAACTTCACTTCATAACACTAAGTCAAAAAGCAAGTACTTCTGGTTCTCTCCTCTGCTGACTGTTGATCACGTCTTTACAACATCTGTGAACTCAGTTCTTTGCATTCCTCAGGGGCAGCCATGTCGGCATCCTCTTTAATGATGCTTTAATGATGGAGTCAGTCAAAAAAACTTCTTTGAGTTGAAGAGGAATTTTTTTCCTCTTTGTTGTCTGAGCCCCGCTCTTTGAGATGCAGGAATGACGAGGAGGAATTATTGACGGAGGGATTTTGGAATACCAGGACTTCAGATCAGGTTCAACAGGTGCTGCTCCACCTTCACGTCCCATTGACTGCCCCGCTGAAGGCAGCGGTAGTGTAATCTGCACACAGCTCTGTAGAATTAGATCTGCATCATTTGGGTCAATCCGAAAGCAAATAAAAGCGATGTGAGCCTGAGTACACACAGCTGGCTCTTGAGACTGGGGGATCCTGGGTAAACAAGTGTCCAGCATGCCTCAGCACAGCTCACCCACGGAGGGACAGCAGCCGGTCAACAAAGACTGATACTCCACAGACTCCACTGAAGCAGGGCTTAGTAAAAATTTATTACATTTGCCCTGTTTCAATAGACTGCCGGTGAAAAAGAGGATCACAGACTTTGTCATCAGTTCCTCCATTACTATGACATCTAGGCCTCCTTAGACTCCATAATGCGTCTATTGTGGGCCGGGATCCACTGATTTAACATGGAAATCTGCTCTTCAGCCACATCGAGGTTCAGGTTATGACACAATGGCAGGTTTATATGGAGCGAACAAAAACCGTTAGACTGCTTGGCTTTGGACTGGACTTAGCTACAACAGGATACTCCTGTATGGTATTCAATTATGTGTAGAAGAGTCAATGTGTGTCTCACTTATATAACAAAAATGTAATTAGATTAAAAAAAGCACCTTAACACATGACCAGGGCCTGTGTTTAGAGAAATTTAACAAGGTCTCCCCTGATCCTACCTTAAATACCAGGGGTCTTTGATGTTGAGCTTTTCCTTCAGAGTCAGTGTATTTGTCAACTTCTCCAATGTACAGTAAGTGTGTTGTCAGTTGATAATCGTCCATTGTTGGTGACTTGTTGACATCATGGGAAGCGGGCAGGACACAACTGCAATACTGGAGAGAATCTTTTTTAAAGGTGTAGGTAGTTTATTCAAAAACTCAAAATCACAAGTGTTAAAAAAACACAAACTCCCTAGTTGGCAAGGCATGAACTCCAAAACATGGCACGCAAACAAACAACAACCCACAAAGACAGAGTGAGGGAGGTATATATACCCAGGACACCAGGTGACAGCCGTGAGACTAATCACAGAGACACAGGTGAGTGTGACGACACTGATCAACCACACAGCAGGAACAGGGATCAGACAGACCTGACAACCATGACCCTGGTCATATATTGGTCTCAGACAGTTCTACTGGACCAGGTCTATCCAAATATATCACAGAGAAGTGATGGAACTGCAAACAGGTTGAATATAAGTGCTGAAGATGTGTGTATGATCAGGTCATTCCTGATTGGCTGCTTGTTGTGCCTCTGTTTTAAATATTTAAAATGTTTAAAATCAGTTGGAAAAAAAATCAACAGAATAAACACATATCTTGTTTTTTATTTTGTCTCATTGACTCTTACTACCATGGCCAACATTGTGCTTTTTGTTTCATAGACATTAGCAAACAGTTAGTTTAGGTATGATGCCTACAGTCATCTTACAGGTTTGGCTCTGATTGGATAACTTTAAGCTGTGTTTACATTTTTAAAACCCTTTGACTTCTGTGTATTTTGAGATAACCTTTGGTGAAATTTAAAGTTGTTTTTTTCTTGCTTCAGACCCACCTTCAGTTATCATTAGATGTTTTATTTTTAAAACAATATATAAAAGCACAGTACGTTTGTTATTGTGTCTCTTTATCTTTATATTTAAGTAAAAGGAAACAGATTTAATCTTACAAAGGTTAATGCTACACGAATCTTATCTCGAAAACATCAGTTTGTTTCGGTTGTAGTGTTTATCTGGTTTATTGAATCGGACACAGGTGTGCCATCTTGTGGCCATTATATGAACAGTGACCAAGGGTCTAATTACAAACAAAATCCACACATTTCTCTTTATATAAAACTTACCTTACTGAAACGTCATTATATCTTGATTTAAATAAAACAATAATATTTAAACCAATAGACTATTAGAATACCTTAGGGCTGAAGGTAGAAAAAAGGTATTTTATACGCTTTAGGTCGGTTACGTTTGTAATGGGGTCGCCAGATGGCGCCCGTTTCCTTATGTCAGTGATTGGGCTACTTCTCGCTTTAAATCAACGTGTTTCATGCACAAAATGTAAATGTTTCCAAAAAGAAAAGTTATCAGTTTGTAGAGGAAAAAAAGGAACAAAATTATTTTTCATAATTGTGAAAACTAATGTAGCCAGCTCCCTATTCTATTCTATTCTATTCTATTCTATTCTATTCTATTCTATTCTATTCTGTTGTGAATTTGCTGACTTTGGAAGATTGGAGATGATTATAGTGTGCAGGTTTCGGCACGTGCGAAGCGTAAACCGGAGAAAACAGTGTGGGAACGGCACGCGGACAGATGTGGCCTCCTCCTCCTCCTCCTCCTCCCTCACCTCCTTTTCTCTCCCCTCCTCTGAGCAGCTCCCGCTCAGGGATGATTGACAGCGGACTGCTAGTGCAGCCAATCACAGAGCTGTGTGCTCATTTGCATGAAGTGGCTGGATGCCATTGGATCAGTGAGTGCTGCTGCTGCTGCTGCTGCTGCTGCTAAAAAGCTCCTCGCGTGCCAGTACAGATGTCTGCTCACTGGAGAGGAGGTTAAAAATAGACTGAGGTGTGTAGGGGGTATTAAGTCAGAAGAAATGTTTATGCATAAAACAAAGACGCCGGTGCCATTCAAAGCAAATAATAATGTTAATAATAACAATATATATATTATATATATTATGTGTTTATATTTTTATTTATTTTTTATATTTTTATTGCGTTGTGTAAAAATGTTAATTTCAACTAACTCTCATTTGCTTATTTTTTATTTCCCTTTTACAACGTTATCTGATATGTAATATCATATAATATATGAAAATAAACACAATTGTCAGTCATGTATATTCAGTATTCAAGACTTTTATTTTGTCACACCAACTGTTTTCACTTTTCAATGCACATAAATATAATAATAGTTTGTTTATTACATGACCAATAGGTATTTGTTGAGTTATATTACATTCGGTCAGAGCACTCTGTATAACAAAATAAATAAATGAATAAATAAAACTTTTGGGATCTTTTCACAAACTCAGCAAGACGGTGATTTTTTTAGTCTGTCCTATAAACTGTCTAAAGTAGGTTTTATTTTAAGGATTTTGTAAATGTATTTATTTATAACTC